CATCCATCCATCCATTCATCCATCCATCCATCCATCCATCCATCCATCCATCCATCCATCTATCCATCCATCCATCCATCCATCCATCCATCCATCCATCCATCCATCTATCCATCCATCCATCCATCTATCCATCCATCCATCTGTTCATGCATCCATCCATCCATCCATCTGTCCATGCATCCAACCATCTATCCAATAAATCATTAATGAGCAATTCATAGCCAGGCACCCTGATCAGTGCTGGGGATACGGAAAAAAATAGAGCCCTTTTATGCAGGTCACAGCCTGTGGGAAAGACAGCCATATAAACCATGAACCACTACTTTTCTTAAACCTATTTTCAGTTAGTCCTACCTTTTGGGGATACGAGTTCTACAGACAATAGATGATTGAGTTTTAAAGCTGAAGGATCTTAGAAATTATCTTTTCTATCTCACTCATTTTACTGTTGAGGAAATTGTGTTTATGATTTGTTGTGAAAAGTACTATGACTTTCTCTTACTTGCCTTCAAATGACCTCACCCAGGTTTCAAGTGTAGTGAGTTTGATTAATCTTTACTAAGCACCGATTGTAAGTGGGTCTTTGGAAGAGCTGCAGTATAGCAGTGAAGAGGACATCATCCCTGCCCTCAAGGAGATCACGGTCTAGGGGCAAAGGACTCATAAGGACATAATAGCTGTGTTGCTCTGTAGAGGCCCTGTTAGCACATGGCACTGAAAATACAGAAGCAGCTCCTGATTTGAGTTTAGGGAGTTCAGGGGAAGCTTCTCAGAAAGAAGACGTTTGAGTCATGTCATGGAAGTCAAAGAGAAATGTGTTAGATGGAAATCTAGGGGAAGGGCATGCCAGGCAGAGGGAACAGAGTGAGCGAGGGAAGGCAGATGGGAAATAGCATGACTTAAGGGGGAGCTACAGTAGGTTGGTGATGCTGGGGCTTAAGGACGAAGGTGGTGAGGAACGAGCCGGGAAAGGAGGGCAGGAACCGAGCAACAGCGTGCTTGATGTGGAGCTGGCACGGCCAAAGGCCGTCCCTACCTTCCTTGTCCACTCTCCCTGTGCTCTCTGGGGTAAGGAGCCCCTCCACACCCTGCTTTGCGGACTAAAAAGTCCTAATTTGTCAGCCTCTCATCTTAGGGCAGTATAAGGAGTTGCTCCTCATCACTTAAGCTGTGGCTTACGTTTCACCACCTCCATGAAGCCACCCCTGACAACCCTCTGCCTTCAGTGAACTCTACTGTCTCTACCGCACTTTGGGATTGTCATTGCTGTTTTTTGTCACCCCCCGTGAGTATAACTTGTCTCTACAGTGAGACTCTAAGTTCCTGAGGGTTTGCTATGTGAGTCACATGGTAATGTTTAGTAAATATCAGTAAGACTGAATCTTTTACATTTGGGTTTCAGGACATATGACGAGTGTTTGAACTTTGAGGTTGGACGGGCCTGGGTTTGATTCCAGCTTTATGACTAGTTATTAATTAGTAACTCTGGGCAAGTTTTACAATCTGTCTAATGTCTCAGTTTTCTCATCTATAAAATGGGTGATGGCCTGCACTCACAGGCTGCTGTGAAGACATGGTTGTGGCTGGGGGCTAGGGGAAGCACCGGGGAGTTTTCAACAGTGGGGCTTTGACATGCAGCAACAGCAGACGATGCTGAGTGCAGTGCATCTGGAGGGCAGCGTGGAAAACCTGACATGATCAGCCCTGTGGTTGAGCACTCCCAGCTGATTCACTAACCTGGCGGTGCTTGGCAGTTACAAAGTACTTGGCCGGCGCTGTCAATGGAACTAAGGAAATTGAAGGCCTGAGAAGACAAGCAATTGGTCACACAGTGGGCAAGTGGCAAAGCTTGTGCTGGTGAGCAGAAAGGCAGGGGGTGGCATGCACAGCCTGTATATAATGACATAGGAGGCAGCAGTGTGCTGGTACATGTTGAACAGCCAGGAAAGTTTTAACAAGCGGCTTCCAGGAAAACATAAGCTCTAATTTACAGCGTTAGCCAATTTCTGTGGTGTAAATCCTCCTAGCATGGCTGATGTCAAGCTGCTAATGAGACATCACTGTGGAGTCAGGAACAGATGTATATGGATGATCAGAAGGTCATCTTGCCTGTGGTCACACAGTTGTCCTGTGGCAGAGAAGGGCTCCAGCCTGGGCAGTCTGACACTTGAGCCCAAGCTGTAAACATGACATTGTTCTTCTCCTCCTATTGATGACAGGATAGCTGTAACAAGGGGCATGAGCTGGCTCAGCGGCGTCAGCTGTCAAGTTCCAGTCCATTTCCAGATAACCACTGATCTTTGGTGCTGGCATAGTTAGGGCTCCACCCAAGCTATCTCTCATCCTCATCCATGATGGCAGGACATGCTCTAACAGGCCCCATTTGGATCCCACTGGCACAGCCAGGAGAACTGGAGGCAAGAGGCTGGCCAGAAAGGTTAGCTGAGGCAGCTGGGGGTAGAGTGAGCACGGGAATACCCAGGCCTGGAGCCTGCTCTCCAAAATGGATTTTTCACAGCCCAGAAGCTGTATCCAGCACTAGAAAACCAACACGAACAGCACATTTTTTGCTGCTAACAACATATTCATGATAATTTATTAGAAGATCATTAAACTTAAGTATGTGATCTGGAGCCTTGAACCAAGCAGGTGTCTCTATTTGGGGATGGAGGAGAGGGATGGACATCGAGAATACAGAAGGGAAGGAGGGGGAAGGCAGGAGAGCCTGAAGGGCCTGGGGGTGGGTGCTAGAGGGCCTAGTCATGGGGAAACACAGGAGATCCCAGGCTTGCATCTGAGGCCTGGTGCTGTGACCTGTAGAGTGTGTGTGTGTGTGTGTGTGTGTGTGTGTGCGCGCGTGTGTGTGTGTGATGGCAGGGGTAGGGGGAATGACTATGTCGTTGATAATCACAAGAATCAAGATTCTTATTTTCTATTTTAGCTTTTTTAGAGACAGGATCACACTCTGCCAGCCGGGCTGAAGTGCAGTGGCACTCTCACAGTTCACTGCAGCCCCAAACTCTTGGGCTCAAGCAGTCCTCCTCCCTCAGCCTCCTGGGTAGCTGGACTACAGGCACTTGCCACTATGTCCAGCTAATTTAAAAATTTTTTTGTAGAGACTGGGTCTTGGTATGTTGTCCAGGCTGGTCTTGAACTCCTGGCTTCAATCAGTCCTCCTGGCTTGGGCACCTGAAGTGCTGGGATTATAAGCGTGCGCCACCATGCCTGGCCGGAATCAAGATTATTGTGCAAGAGCAATTGTCAGGTGTTTGGGGTTGTGGCTTGAATTACAAGTAATGTTTAGCTCTCAATCATCAGAGTTGATGGGGGATTGGAGAGGTGAGAACTGATATACAGAGGGTAATTTGGGCTCATTTGGGGGGAGCTGTATCCCTCCCTAACCTGGCCACTTGCTGCTTACCAGTCAGGAGAGCTGCTTTAGAAGCTTCCTGTGTGCATATGCACATGCATGGGCTAGTGTGTGCACACAACTATGTACACATGTGCATGTGTGTCCACCTGCTTAACATGTTTTCTGGGTGTGTGTCTGTGTCTGTGTGCATGGATCTCCTACCCTTTCCTCTTCCCATCTAGGGAGGGAGCTGGACAGAAGCCAAAGGGTGATGGGGAATCAAGAACCAGAGAAGAGGGGGCCTCCCTTTTAAAACCCCAGGTGTACTGGGGAATTCCATCATGGTGACTTCCTTTCTGATGCCTAAGGCTGCTGCAGTTAGAAATGAAAATAAATTCAGCTCTGGTCCCATCCCTTAGAACCCCCTCTGTACACAGTGGGAGCTTAATAAATACTTGATGATGATGATTCTGAACCTGGGAAGCCAGCAGCTGTTCCTAGCTCTGACTCCCAGAGCCCCGTGGGGCAAATCAGGTAGGGAATGACCATGGGGGATCTTGAGTCTTCCTGCCAGATCCCCCTGTGACTCCACGCCCAGCTGTTAGGGAAGGGGCTGGAGCCATGGTCCGCTTCACACATTCTGCTTTGGGGAGACCAGTTCTTCCTCAACAGCTTCTCTTTGGCTTTCCCCCATCCAACATTTGAACAATATTTATTGAACAACCACTTTGTACTGAGTATCATAGCGGAAATGTGTTCTGGGAGACAGTGTAGGATGTGTAGGGTCAGATTGACTAAGTTCAAATCCCAGCATCTTTACAAACGGGGTGACATCTGACAAGTTACATATCTATGTTTGAGTGTTGGAGTGTTTTTTCCCCTTTCCTTTCTCTCGTCCTCCTTCTTCTTCCTCCCTCCTCCTTTTCCTCCTCCTCCTCCCTCCCTCTTCCTCCTTATTCTTTTCCCCTAATTCTCCTTTCTTCCTCTTTCCTCCCCTTCTCCTCCTCCTCCTCCTCCTCTTCCTCCTCCTCCTCCTCCTCCTTCTCCTCCTCCTTCTTCATTTTCATCTGTAAAAGGAGAAAGTTGACATCATTGTCGTGGGGCTGATGTGAGGGTTGGAAATAGGGCGCCTGAACACACGGCGTAGGCACTCTGTCAATGGTAGGTGAGTATATCCACCCGGTGTCAGGAGGCGGATACCCCCCGCTTCTGTGACCTTGACGTTGTTACTCAACATCTCTAAGCATCAGGCTTTGTAAATGAGACCATACTGCCCACCTCCTTGGGTGTTTGGAGAATGCATCCCGATAATATGCGTGAAAAAACCTATGGTAAACCCTGGGGGTTAACAAATGTTTGCCTTCCCCTCCGTCTGCCTTTCCCCTCATCAGGGTACACTCCTTAGGAGGCCCTCTGTCCTTCCTCCCCATCGCCTCGCGTGGGCGAACATCCCTTGTCGCCGTGGGCTTGCGGGTTGTGGCCATACCTGTCAGAGAAAGAGGGCAGTGGCTCAGCTCCGGGGCGGGGGAGCGAAAACTACAGTTCCCAGCCCTCACTGCGCCGCCACTGGGGCCGGAGCCGAGGACGCCAGGCCCCTCCTCCGGGGAGGAGCCTATGCGGGGGGCGGAGCTAGGAGGAGGTTGGAGAGTTAAGCCAAGCCAATGAGACCAGCTGCTAATAAGTGGGCTTGGCTTACAATGTAACAGTGGCAGGAGGAGGCGAGCGAAGCTATAGAGCCAGCGAGGAGTGAAGCTGAGCCTGGCCTCACACGCTCCTAGAGGACCACCTCCTGAGAGAGTTCTTTCACCCCCTCTTCTTTCTCCAAGCTCCCCTCCTGCTCTCCCTCCCTGCCCAATACAATGCATTCTTGAGTGGCAGCGTCTGGACTCCAGGCAGCCCCAGAGAACCGAAGCAAGCCAAAGAGAGAGGACTGGAGCCAAGACACTGGTGGGGGAGATTGGATGCCTGGCTTTCTTTGAGGACATCTTTGGAGCGAGGGTGGCTTTGGGGTGGGGGCTTGTGCTGCAGGGAATACAGCCAGGCCCCAAGATGGACACTTCTGGGCACTTCCATGACTCGGGGGTGGGGGACCTGGATGAAGACCCCAAGTGCCCCTGTCCATCCTCTGGGGATGAGCAGCAGCAGCAACAGCAGCAGCAGCAGCAGCCGCCGCCACCACCGCCAGCGCCACCAGCAGCCCCCCAGCAACCCCCGGGACCCTCGCTGCAGCCTCAGCCTCCGCAGCTTCAGCAGCAGCAGCAGCAGCAGCCACCGCATCCCCTGTCTCAGCTCGCCCAACTCCAGAGCCAGCCCGTCCACCCTGGCCTGCTGCACTCCTCTCCCACCGCTTTCAGGGGCCCCCCTTCGTCCAACTCCACCGCCATCCTCCACCCTTCCTCCAGGCAAGGCAGCCAGCTCAATCTCAATGACCACTTGCTTGGCCACTCTCCAAGTTCCACAGCTACAAGTGGGCCTGGCGGAGGCAGCCGGCACCGGCAGGCCAGCCCCCTGGTGCACCGGCGGGACAGCAACCCCTTCACGGAGATCGCCATGAGCTCCTGCAAGTACAGCGGTGGGGTCATGAAGCCCCTCAGCCGCCTCAGCGCCTCCCGGAGGAACCTCATCGAGGCCGAGACTGAGGGCCAACCCCTCCAGCTTTTCAGCCCCAGCAACCCCCCGGAGATCGTCATCTCCTCCCGGGAGGACAACCATGCCCACCAGACCCTGCTCCATCACCCTAATGCCACCCACAACCACCAGCATGCCGGCACCACCGCCAGCAGCACCACCTTCCCCAAAGCCAACAAGCGGAAAAACCAAAACATTGGCTATAAGCTGGGACACAGGAGGGCCCTGTTTGAAAAGAGAAAGCGACTGAGTGACTATGCTCTGATTTTTGGGATGTTTGGAATTGTTGTTATGGTGATAGAGACCGAGCTCTCTTGGGGTTTGTACTCAAAGGTAGGGGCTATGGTTTCTCTTTATACCTTGAACAAAAGGAATATCTAGGTAGCAAGAGAGAGATTGAGAGAGACATTGAGAGAGAGAGAGAGACTGAGAGAGAGACATTGAGAGAGAGATTGAGAACGAGATTGGGAAGGAGACTGGGAGAGAGAGGTGGAGGTGGTGGTGGTGAGAGGCGCTTGCTCAGTGATATTGAACACTCTAACTTCCCGTGGTTTTCCTTCTTGATCCCGGGAGAATTCATTACTCGCTTCCCTTGGTGGGTAGGGGACATCCCCACACACTGTGTCTAATTTGCAGACTCTCTGTTAGGGAGGATTAAAGAATCCCTTCTGAGAAATCGTTTTTCCTCCTGGCTCACTTGTACTAAAGCATAACCCAGCAGCTTAACGCACCAATTAATTACACTCCGCCTTGATGTGTTTGCCAGTTCCTGCGACTTCCCCTCCTTTCCTCCCCTTCCTGCTCCACTCCATTTTCCTGAGGATAAAAAAGAAATAAATGTCTGGGTGGGGGGTGGGGATTCCATGCCATTGCCCAAGTCCCTTCTCTCCCTGTCTTCTCCCTCTCTTCCCAAGTTTCTATTTCCCTCCTCTTCTCAGAGAGACTCGGGCAAAATAGAAAACCACCCATGACCTCGGTCTCCTGAGGGCATGGGGTAAAAATGTAGCTGGGGGAAATCAGTGGTCCTTTCCCTCAGGAGAGAGGACTTGATAAACCTGCTGCTGCTTCATAAACATCTCCTGACAAAAATGGCTACAGGTGTTCCCCGGGCAGAGCAGCTGGGCGCCGCCTTGGCATCAGCTGGGGGAGCACCTCTCCTTGGGATGGGATGACAGGGCTTCCCAGGCGGTCCCGGAGAGCCCGCGCCCCAGCTCAGCCCCAGTTCTCCCCTCCCACCTCAACTCCTTCTCCTTGGGATAAATAAAGATGAGTGTGTGTGTGAGTGCGCGCCCGGATGGAGAACAGGAGGCACTGGCTTTAGGGGGGAGCTGGCCCCACTGCTCCAGCCTCTCAGTCCAGCTCCAAGACGGAGGAGGGGGCTTCCCTTCCAGAGGGAATGGAGATGGAGGAAGGTGGGTTTCTGCCGATGCTCTGCTTGCCGGGGAGCCCTCCTGCTGTGGGCTGGAAGGCTTGGAGACCTGGGAATCAGTGGACAAGTGGCTCCACGATACCCCCACCCCCAATTTGTTGGGGTGTGTGTGTGTGTGTATGTGTGTACGTATGCATGCGCCTGCTTGTTGCTTGGATTTTTCTATTTATTTGTCATTTGGGGCAGGGGGTGGCTGGGCGGGCTGGCCAGCGGGTAGCTGGGAGGGGTTCAGCTGTTGGAGGTTTCAAATAGAGCTTGTTTCAGGCAGGGCACAGCTGCTGCGAGACTGTCACATTCCTTATTGAAACCCAGCCGCAAAAACCTAGGAGGTGCTGATCGGATTTCCCCCATTCCCAGCATTTCGCTTTAACCGGGGATGGGCAGACTTTCCCGCCCTGGAAAAGGGTGGGGCAGACCTGTCAGGCGACCTGAATAGCCAGGATCAAGACTTCCAGGCAGAGGGTCCTCCAGGGAGCTGGCTGCTCTCAGGGGGCTGCCCCGGCTGAGGGTGGCACCTGGGAGCTGCCTTCGTCAAAATAGCTCAAGGATGAGCGTCTCAGGGAGCAGAAGCGAGCGGGGTTTCCCCTGGAATCGCAGCTCACTTAGTCATTCCCTGTAATGAGCCTCTGCGTCTGCGGTCCTTCTGCTCGCTGCCTTCTCAGAACTGCCTCTCCTGCTGGGCACGCCAGGAGATGGGGCTGGCAGTCTTGCCAGGGCTGGCAGCTGCCCGGGTCACAGCCCTGGCTCTCTCCAGTCCTCCCCTGGAGACCAGGGGCCCTCACTGGGGGAAACTGATGAAGGCCCAAATGCAAGGGGGGCATGGGGAAGGGCAACCCCAGCACCTTCTCTTTCAGTGACACCATGGTCAGACTTCTTAAGGAAACGGCTCTTCCCAGAGGCAGTGGCTGTGCACAAATGCACAGATCCCAGCGTGGGATCTCCACACACTTGTCTTAATGTGATGGGAGGGTCACCACTGTGCAGGGTCGAGGCCTCTTCCCTGCCTGGGGCAGGTGCACCCCGAGGGAGAACTCAGGGAAAGGGGCTTTTCCAGAGATGAAATGGGGAATGGAGGGTGGGGCCACCTGAGGTGCTTGGCTCTCCCCATTTCTAAATCACAGACCCTCACAGCATTAGTGGTGTGCACCGAGGGGGCAGCAGCTGAGAGGTCCTGCTTGCCTCAGCGGCCACTTCCTGTGCCCACTCACCACCCCTGCATTGTCCATCCATGTTTTGAGTCATTTATGGAACAGGTCTTTTCTGGGTGTCTACTAGGTACCAGGCCCTGTAGACGCAGCAGGGCCAAGGTAGATACCCCTCTCTCCTGGAGGCAAATGGGATCGTTTCAAGGAACTGGGCCAGAGTTGGAATCCCAGCTCTGCCGATACTATTTGTGTGATCTTGGACAAGTCCTGGAGGTTTAGCGAGCCTGTTTCCCCAGCTGTCGAGTGGTGAGAATTAAATTAGAGAAGTGTAAGGCACGTATCTGCCTGCTCAACAGATGGGATCTATGGTGATTGTTATTGATGATGACAGTGATGGCAGGAACGGAGCCGTCTTTCTCCTGTCACCTCACTCTGGCTGTAAAGTCAGTTAGGGTCTTAACAGACTGGGATCTAAGACCTATGGATGGAGTGAGAAGTTGTATCAGGGAGGGAAGAAGTTCCGAGAAGGAGCTGGGGCTGGTGGGAGACCACCTTTGAACGTGATCTGTTCTTGGGGGGAGGTGAACATCTGTGTCTCAGTTTCACGGAGGAAATGGACGTTACTCCCCCGTGGCCTGGGTTAGGTGAAGAGTCGCAGCCCAGGAGAGCTCAGGGACATTCAGTGGACCCTGGGGGGCGATAGGTGACACTCCTGTTTGCTGGAGAGCTTTGTGTGCCTGGTTGGCCGTGCTCACCAGTCTGGAGGCAGGCGGATGGAGAAGGCCACCTCAGGGGCACCAGGCAGATGATGTAGTTCTGCCCCACCAGTGACAGCTCCCACTCAGAGGCTCTCTGGGAGGGGACAAACTTTTTTTTTTCTGCAAGCGATTGAAGATTGACTAACCTTGTGCCTGAGCTGCTGCTTTCTGAAGTTCTCTGCTTTTCTCCTGTGGGGTTATGGCCTTGCCATTCCCCGGTGTTTGGCAGATGCCTGTTGCTGGGGAAGGAACTCATCACGCAGGCCCGGGTGTCTTGGAAAGGAGTGTGGCATGTGCCCCGAGCATGTTCTGTGAATGCAAATGGGAGCCAGTGTGAGGGGGTTGAGCAGCCGGGACAGAACATCCCATCTCCTGCCTCACAGGCCTGTAGGTGCTGGTGTTGGGAGGAAGCTCTGCCAGAAGGCATCAGCCTGGAGCAGGGAGGTGGGGCTTGATTCCAGGGTGAGCTCACATAAGAGGAGAGCTTCTCATCATTATGCCTGGGACATGAGACCAAATGGCAGAGAGATGCCTGAGATGGCCTCAGTAGGCTCCTAAAGGTATCAGGTGACCCTAAACCAAATGAGGAATTTTTTTATTTTTTTAAATTTTTTTTTAAAATAGGCAGGTTTACTCTCTGAAGGCTTAGACATGGTGACAAGACCTGGTCTAGAGATTCTCTTGAGAGTCTTAGTCACGCTGTCTCTACCTATCCGTGTCACTCGGGTAGAGCAGCAAGGACCTGGGGAGTCCTTCTTGGTGTTCTTTATTTTCTTCTAGCGCTGGTTTGGGGCACACCTGCTCCATTGCATTAAATTACCTCTATGCTGTCTTCCCTGGGTCCAGAAAGAATGAGGGAGGGGAAAGGTCTGGCTGCCCTCCCCCTTCCCCAGGCTGTGACTTCACCACCCTGACCCTGCCATAGTGTTGGTGGCTGAGCTGGGAACCTCCATGTGGGGGCAGGGCACCTGTGGGCCTCGTTCCTCCTGGGGCTCAGGCGCTGGGCTGCAGGGTGGTCTCGGGGGAGGCTGGAGAATGCTGGTGCAGCCGCGTGGCTCTCCTTTCCCACTAGTCTGTACAACCTCAAGCCACTTCCCCACCCCCAGCCTCGAAACTGGTCTGCAGCTCTCCTCCCAGGCAGAACCAGCCCTCTGCCCACCCCCCAGCCATGCCCCGTCTTGCCCACCCCACCGACTTCCTGCCCCTCTGCTCCTCTCTGCTGCCCCTGCCTGGCCTCGTTGCTGGGGTAACCCAGGCAGCACAGAGAGGAGTTGGTGTGATGGCGCTCATCCATATGCCCTGCCTGCTCCCACGGTGGCTTTTTTTTTCTCACCTCTAGTTACTCTTTCTTCAGACAACCTCATGGCAGGCCACCCTGGTGGCATAGGCTTCTTTGCATGCCCAGGGAAGCCTGGTCCTCTAGCCGTTCATCTTTTTTTTTTTTAGACAGAGTCTTTCTCTGTCACCAGGCTGGAGTGCAGTGGCTCAATCTTGGTTCCCTGCAACCTCCGCCTCCTGGGTTGAAGCGATTCTTCCGCTTCAGCCTCCCAAGTAGCTGGGACTACAGGCACCCGCCACCACGCCCGGCTAGTTTTTGTATTTTTAGTAGAGATGGGTTTTACCATATTGGCCTGGATGGTCTTGATCTCTTGACATCGTGATCGGCCCGCCTTGGCCTCCCAAAGTGTTGGGATTACAGGCGTGAGCCACCGTGACCAGCCTGGCCATTCATTCTTTAAAGAGGTAGGCCAAGGTATTCTCTTAGACCAAGGCCAACTTGTCTGTCTCTTTGCAGACCTCAAAGAGGTCCGTGAGTCCACCCCCAGCCTCCAGCCCAAATGATTGGGTAGTATCACTGGTCCCAGTTCTGCTCTTCTGCCCTCCCTGGTCACGGAAGCCTTGTCTGCAGAAGGGCAGAGCAGCAGCCCAGGCTTGATCAGCCAAGTGGCTCTGCATCTTCTGTTTAACCAGGTGCTGTTCTGGGATAGGTTGTTGGCAGTC